CAATAACATTTGACATTAATGTTCTATCATTTAAATGAAAACATATGATGAGTATAATTTTTTTTGCTTTTTTGCCACCTAATCCTCCAAATGCTAAAGACTGTCAATATCTGTATACACATAAGGACTTAATTTGATTTTAATAGGCTTATTTGTATATACCGTTAAACAAATAAAATTTTTGCAAAATTATAAAGGAATGATGTTGTCTCCTTTTTAAGACCAGAAATCTCACAGAAACATCCGTAGAGGCATTTGTTCTGTTCCATGCATGCAGGGATAGCTCCTGGCAATCAGAGAATTAAAACCAAATATTGAAAGTTAGAGTGCTCTTATGTGAGCAAGTGCTTCTTTTCACCTCAGCAGGCCCAGAGAGGTGGTGGATTATTAAATTCATCTGGAAAGAAGTAAAGATGGGTTTCAGTGTTGAGGTGGGGCCTGCTGAGAGTTGCTGAGGAGAGGGGCTTGGTAAGGTGATCTAGTGAAGGTACAGGGCTCTGGAATGGTGAAATTGGGAAAAGTTTGTAGGTCATAGTAGCTGGGACTGAAAATACAGCTCTGAGCGGAGAAATGTGAATTTGTGGTTTAGAATGTAGAGAGGAGATTCTTGTGAGTCCCTTATTGCTGAAAATTGGGATGAGGTTGCAGATGACCCAGCCTGCTAGTTGAAGAAGAGAAGATGTTGCAAAGGCCATAGTGTTCAAAGGGATTTTTTTTTTCAAAGTTAAGTGTTATTTTTTTCTTCTTCCTCTTCTTAAGAAAAGTATAAAGAGAGAGAAGGAGTGAAGCAAAGGGAAACTTTTTTCTTCTGTCATTAGTACAAATTTCTCTGGTTAGAAATTCTAGTATCAAATAATGCAAATGCTTATTATCAAAAAAGTTATTTTCTATTTCATAGTTAATTACTTAAAATATATATTGCTTAAAAATATTGTCTTAAATGTAATGTGTAGCTGCTTATGAAGGGACAATCTTGAAATCATTAAAAAAAGAAATGTATCCTGAAGGGCCAGCTTTGTTTCTGAGCTAACTGTCATAAGAAAGATAAGAAATCAGACCGACTTCCCAGTGTGTTACCTTTTAAGGATATTGATCAAGGCCTTGTATATCACTTCTTGGGAGCTGTAAATGGCTAGGGATAATATTATTTGCTTCCATAGACACACACAGAGAACTATTTTCTCCACAAGATAGTCTTTTGTAAATGACATCTTTACCTTCTCTTTGTGTTCCTGAATCCCCTTTACCCTGGAAAGCACTGTGCTTTCTTTATCATAGACTACTGAAGATCCTTGCTTTCATGATCTCACTAATAAGACTGAACGAACATTGTAACCATGCATCATCTAAGAAAGGTGTGCTGATGAACTACAGCATAATTTAAATGTAGATGTCACGCAAGGAAGATAGCATTAAGCTGCAAACTCAGTGTAGTTATGAAGTAGGGCCTTGCAGATTTAGGTGATGGTTGCTTTTGTGGTCAGGACTTGTCCTTAATGAAAGCAAGGTTGCCTGTTACTTGGGTGAGAAATAACTTCAGTGAGTATGATTTTTGTTCTTAATTTACTACAATATTAGTGGGTTGGGTAATCCTCACAAGTATAACCAAAGCTTGTCCTTTATGAGTATGGTGTATGAAAGGAGCAATGCTGAATTATAAAAGGATGGGGAAACTGGAAGAGGAAGAGGGCTGAAGTATGTGTAGATTTGGGTGAATAATCATGTGACAGCTTTGAACATGGAGTTTGAGTAGGTGACCTCCAGAAGCCCTTTCCAACCTCACTGTTTCTGTGATTTCTGACAATGGGTGAAATGCTAATAGTGATTACCTGTGAAGAACCTAAGTATGGGAGGGAACATGGGTGTGGACTGCCAGCTGAAGAGCAGAAATTAGAAAGAAGTCAATAATGAGGCATTTCTCTACCCAAATGTAATTTCCCTATGACTAGCAGATGATAGCTTTGGGTTTTCTTGTGCAGGCCTAACCTGTTGATTAAAAGAAAGGAACTGCTGTAGGTGAACTTGAACAGGTACTCAACAACTTCTAAAAATGGAAATTATTATTGGTAGTTGCTGCTTCTGTTGCAAATTCTTGCCATGCATGAGTAAGCATGCCAAAGAACCTACACTTAGGGTCAGATTAAGTCTAGCTTCTGCCAGAGTTCCAGGCTCTCTTTTCTGGGAAACATATAATCATCGGGAAAATGGTGGCATCGGAATTTTGGGAAATGTACATTCTGCCATCAAGCTTGATACTTAATGCCTACTTAATAGGATATGGGGTAAAGCAACAAACCTGTGAAGGTTGTAGGTGATGTTTTTGGAGCTGTAGATAGCTTTGTAGAAACAAAGCCTTAGCCACCCTCTGGTCTGATCAGGAATTGTGGCTTTTCAGCTTTGCTCCTTCTGGAGAGATTAGTCCTGAGGAATTATGATGGGCACTTCTCACCTCCCACCCATGTTCTTCCTCTGCTTAGTTTTACTGTTGAAGAAAAACCCTGATGCACTGCAGCCTAATCCTGTATGTGGATAAAAGCTGTATGAACTTTTCCAGCCCGAGTGTCTAATAAATCAGTGTCTCAATAAAGAACAGATGACTTAACCTGGGAGACAGGAAGGTGGGGAACAAGTCAAGGAAATAGAGTACTTTCACAGTTTATTCAAACTTTCTGTTGATTAAGGCCATCTAGTTCCAACAGAGGTCAAGTGTCCAACTGCCACTTCACTGTCTCTCAGCAATTCGGCTCCTGAAATAGGCCTTCAACCAAAACACACTGCTATGAATTGGTCTATTAAAATGAATTAGATCCTGCAGAGTGACTGCTGGTCTGCAGCTACTGTGAGGGAGAAGTCCTTGTCACTGGGTTTCTTGATTTGGACAGCAGAAGAGAATGTTTTATTTTATGTGGTGGAGTTTCCTGTAAATTATTAATTAATACATTTCAGAAGGGTGCAGCTGATTATAGATAAAGCTTTCCACTGAGAATAAGGTCACCATTCTCATTACACTGCTATTAATGGGGTTTTGACTCGGCTGTTGTCAGCAGTTGTTCCAGATAGGTTGGGAACTACTTTTGCCTCATTGTTAGTACTCATAAGATAAACAAGCAATGGGAGCAGCTTTATGAACAGCAAAGATAGAAGTTTATATAAGCATCCTTAAGATACAGAAGACTATGTCATAAAAAAATATTGACCTCTGACTAGTCTCTGCGTCAGTACTTGGAGGCATTTGTAAGGTTGTTTCTTACTGAGATGACAAATAAAGTGGAACTATGCATAATCCTTTTTAGTCCATGCTGTACATTTTCCAGAGGACACGAGGGTGTTTTGCTGGCTCAGAAGAAATTATTCCTTCATGTCTTACAAATTACAGAGAGATGTATAGGTGAAAGGGGGTAAAAGAGAAAAGGGACAAAGTTGCAAGAGGAAAAATGCAGAGGGGAGAATTATTTCCCCTCCTCCTCAGTATAATAGCAGAAGGACAGATAATAAATAGCCCCAGTTCAAGGATCTAGAGCTTGGAAAAAATGATCACAGTAAGGTCTGAGGAAAATGTAATAGATACAAGCTTGAAAACACCCAGTAAAGGACAGATTGTTTTTTAAATGATCAGTAGATGGTCCAGCAGGGTTTTCTTCTTTCCTTTCTTTATATTTTTTTAAGCTTATGAATTGTATAATTAATGTGGTATCTAATGAAACTTCAAGCAAAAATTAAATAACTAATTTTCCTTTTCTCTGCTCCTATCTTGGTAGAAGCAATTATTTTAAAAAGGCTTTGAACTTGTGTTTTATAGGACTTGTTTGCAATGGTTCAGCAAACCATTTTATAAAGAAGTAAGCATGACAGAAGTCCTCTGTGGACAATGTAGCTGCATTTCGGAAAAACCAGTGTATTGTGATGATTGTGCCCTCACCAGTGACTCCAAGCGAGAGAGTACAGTTTTACCTATTTTACAAAGATTTGTATCTGTACTTGTGCTAGTGACTTAGTTGGTGATTTTTTTCCTTTGTTGGTAATGAACCATTGCTACAGGTTAGTAAGGAACACCACGTTGCCAGTCATGCTGCGTTTCATAAGATGTAAACCTGAGATCTTCATCTCTTGTGGTTGCTAAAGATACTAAAGCATTCTTTTTTTTCCTTGAGTAAAAAGAAGGTAGCGTTCATATTAGGTCAAGCTCAAGCATCATGCCTGCTAAAGGGAATGAGAGCTTTGTCATGGTCTTCAGTAGGGGCAAGGTTCCTGCAAGAAGTTTCTGTGGTTTTAACTGAATGTGGAAAGCTTGGTAGGTTAGAGTCCGGTTCAGGTCAGTTCTTAGCTGCACGAGACCTAATACATTGGTACCAAGATTAGATTGTTGGAAGGTCATCCTACACATACTAAGTGGGGACCCTGTGTTCACAAACCCTTCACCTTATCTCTGCCTTGGGTAAGTTTTCATTGTACGTTACAGGGCTGGTCTTTCAGTGCCTTTCACAGATAAGCACCTACTTATGCACACACTGGAAATTCCCAAATTCCACTGGAACAGCATAGCTTGGGTGCATAATGATCAATACATGAGAATCTGTCATGAAGTGCTTTTGGATAATTTACTATGAATAAATTCTTTATGAGCTCTCATTTTAATATTAGTTATGTAAATTTTTAAAAATACAAAATTTTTATTTTCATCAGTTTTACTCAATCAAATTAGCATTTCTTTGCAACTGTGTCTTTATCTTGGAAAGGGAAAAGTGGAAGGAATACAAAAAATTCAACATTTGCCATAGATTTTATGTAGAAGTCAATTGTACTCTACATTGGTTACTGCCAGCACAAACAATTTAGGTAAGATGGAAAGCATACTATGTTAATATTTCTTATGACTTCAGCTTTTTTTCCCAGATAATTTTAATGAAACATGATTGTTCAGTTCCTTATTTTGCTCATTATTTCTTTCCTGAAGTGTTCATGATGGCTTGTTCTTGCAGGAGAAGCTTAATGTCGACAGTATGGGGCATCAGGTGATAATATTTGACTTTTCTCTAATAAGAGGACTGTGGGAAACTCGAGTTAAGAAGAACAAAGAACGTCAGAGGAAGGAGAAAGAAAGATTAGAAAAAAGCGCTTTGGAGAAGTAAGCTAACTTTTTCGCTGTTAATTTTGACTGAATCAATTATTATTATCCACTAACATTTCCATATACTAAGCATTATTAGATGACTTACATTGGATATTTTTTTGGTATGATTTCAATGATTTTGCCTTCTTCCCTCAGATGATTGTTAGAGAAATGCAGCACTAACTGTGCTTATATTTCATTAGTCCCTGCTCTTTCCTGGGTAGATTGATATTTACTAATGGTGTATTTTATTGTCTACTGTGTAGATTTAATTTGAAGAGAAAAATAACACATTTTGCACCATTCTATTGCTTATGTGCTATATAAAAATATAGCTTTTTATTATGGAATTAATAAAAACATGCTCATATAATTCAGTACTAAGAACATCTTTTTACTGAGTTGACAGGAGAAACAAGAGGAATTAAATAAATGGACATATACAATTGCTTCCGAATAAGAGAGAGAGGATAGCAGTGGTGCCCAGGGACAGGACAAGGGGCAATGGGCACAAACTGAAACATAAGAGGTTTCAGTGGAATGTGAGCAAAAACTTCTTTACTTTGAGGGTGACAGCACTGGAACAGGCTGCCCAGGGGGGTTGTGGAGTCTCCTTCTCTGGAGATATTCAAAGCCTGCCTGGATAAAGTCCTGTGTAACATACTCTAGGTGAACCTGCTTTAGCAAGAAGGTTGGACTAGATGATATCTGGAGGTCCCTTCCAACCCTTGCCATTCTGTGATTCTGTGAATTATCAGAGGATTTTTTCTTGTTAAAATATTAAAGAGAGCCTTGACTATAATGCTTACACCCACTAATTATATAATATATATATACACTTATATATATAGTGTATATATATACTATATATACTATTATCTGACTATAAGGCTATAATATAACAATATTATTGTTTTTATTGTATTTAATCTATTGTTTCTTTAAACAATATTTTAGTTTCTTTATGTTCATTCCCATTAAAGACAGTGAAATATTATACTGCTCTGGCAATGTTGGAAACCTATGACTTACTATTTTTCCTCTCTGAGAAAGTAAAATGCACAGGGTTAAACAGTGCCCTTGTTTCAGAGCATCATTTCATTGATACTTCATGTGGTGTTTCGGCTGTCTCAGGAGACCCCCACTCACAGATTCTCACTGCCAGTGCAGCTACACTGACAACAAAGCCACTGGGCTAAGAGGAGACCAGGAAAATACAAAGGATAGCTACCCTTTCTGCAAGACCTTTCTCTTCAAAACATCCATAGTCACAGTCTTGGTTCTCCCATCTCTACCCAAAGCCTGCAGCTAGAAACCATAACACTAACAACAACAAAAAAAAATAGAAGCTAGTCCTTCAGATTAAATTCTCTAGCAAAGGTAAGCTTTCTTTCTGGCATGAGCTGAGGGACAGAAAAAGTTTGGAGCTGTGAGTGTTACCCTTATGATGGAAAAAAGAAGCAAAACGGTTTGATACAGAATTTGATCAAACCTTATTTCTGCCCCGGGAGGTGCATTAAGAAGGGGCTTTGTGCAATTGTAATACAGATAAAACAGATGACTCTCTATTTTACTGTTGTCTACATCAGTTAGTGGCTCTTCGGTGCCACTGCAGCTGCCTTCTTAAAAAGAATATTATGACTAGGAATCCGCATCTATAGCTTCTAACACCACATGCAGTCATCTTCCAAACTGATGAAAGGTCAATCCCAATGTGGACCTAAGTGTCAGTATCACCCACCGTGTTTTGTTTGGGTTTTGGTTTTCTGTGGTGCAGAAGATAACTTCTGAGTTCACCAGTACAAAAGCAAACCAGAAGCGCCAGGCATGGGGAACAAAAAAAAAATGTTTTGTCAGTAGCATACATTAAGCCTCATTTCTTGCTGTAATTTGTGTTTTCCACAAAAAAAACACATTCTCCCTGCCCTGCCATTTCTACCTGTGGCTATTTGTCTGTAGCCACCCTTCCAGCTGAAAGAGTGGAGCTTGACCACCTGCTCTGCTCTTTTCCACCAACAAAGTCCAAAGTCATTCTGTTATCTTCCTGAACCAACTGGAGATGGGGAATTTGGGGTAAAATGCAGAAGAGTAAATGGTTCCAAGTGCACTTTGAGCATTCACAAAGGATTTTTGTTTTAGTTCTTTAGCTTGCAATTTGCATATGATACTTTGCTTTGTTGCACGTCTTCATGCCATCAGATTGCTTTCCAGTTAGTCCTACTTCTTTTAGAGATCCTGCAAAAAAAGGAGGAAACACGCCAGACTTTGTTTCCTGAATGTGAGTGACCAGTATTTCACCCTCTAAAATGAATGGCAAAGTTCATGTTCATTCTTATGATGCAGGCCTCATGGAGTGGATGAAGCTGATAGAGTAATGGTCAAAGTCATAAAAATATTGGTAATAAAAATGCAAAATTCAGTTAAAAGAAAGATCCTCTTTGTTTTATGAGGTGTGCAGTGACCTCTGGCCTTTAGGTCCTACGTTATTTCTTAGATGCTTTTCAGTGCTTCCAAAGGTTGGGCCAAAAACAGGACAAGCTTTTGCTTGTTCTTAGCTCTAAAGTATAGATAAAATTGTAACTATAATTGAATGCTTAATAGAAATAACATTTCCTTGTAGAAATACATTCATTAATTTAGGGAGTTCTGTGTGTGACCAAGTTCTGGTATTCTACTCAAAGATTAGAATTTTACCACTCTCAGATAGGTCCACTGAAATCAATGTTAGTACTTACTTACTGTCAAATCACATTAAGAAGGTATTTTGGAAAGGATTGTGACCCAAAATGACAATTCCAAAAAGATATTCAAAGAAGGCAGTTTGCCAAATTGAGGACTGCATTCTGGCATTTAAGATTCTAGATATTTACTTTTGCCAGCAGCCAGAGTGATTTCCCAAGTAGGGCTGAAACTAATAGAGTTTCTCTGCAAATATACTCATGCAACAGATGAGTTTGGAATGTGGCCTGCTGAGGCTGTTTTACTTATTTTTTTTCTCCTTAAACAAAATACAGTTTTTCTCGGAGGTTACAATTCACTAATGCCCTTGAGTTTTTACAGTTCCTTACCAACAGTGTTGCTATGTAAAATGACCTGATAATATGTAGTGAAATGTAGTATGAGTATTTGAGGAAAAACTTCCAGTTAACCTCTAAGGAGTTTTGCTTGCTTTGGGGCAAGGTGATTTAGTTCATGGTCAGTAAGCAGTCACATATAAGATATTTCTGGTTTTTGACTAAAGATTTTCTAAGAGGAAAACCTCACAAATAAATGCGAAGCTTGAACTGTGTTTCATTAAAGGGAAGGTCTTGTAAAGATTTTGGGAATTTACATGTCTAGAATGGATGTTTAAGCAGCTGGCCATTGAAAGCTGATTCTGGGGAACAGTCTACTGAGAGGTTCATACCTGGCTCTCTATCATTTCGGGTGGAGTTGTTTCCCCTTTCGTTTTGTGGGGCTGTAGAAGTATGACAGTTTAAGGACCCCCTATTTCTGGGGGGTATGTATAAACCAGCAACTGAATATAAAAGAAAAAGAAACAGTACAGTGTTGTGCAAGAGTAATTTCATTTTACTTTGTATCCTTAATTCTGTGAGGCAAACCCATTCTAAATCTCCTATAGGAGATGAAACACAAACTGTTACAATAAATGTGCACTGTTCCGTGGTTATCTACATGTTTATGTATCCTGGTTTCAGCTGGCATAGAGTCTGTATTATGGAAAGAAGTTTGTGTTTATAGCACTGTTTTATATTTCATCTTCTAGATTGTGGTAGTGGTGAACAATCTTATATTGCACCCTGAAATCCTGAATGGTGTCAGATTAACTTCATGTGGTACGATGATTTTCCTCATTAATTTTTCCTTTCTACTTGTCATTCTTTTGGAAAGTGAATGAGAGTGAAATTTTACAGTTAGATTTTTTTTTGAAGGATTGCAACATGTTTCTCTTCTGTGTGAAAAGCGGGTAAGGTTAAAATTGAGGGTTGACAAATTAAGCACTGGAGTGAGGAAATGCCAGAGCTGTTTGCCCAGATTAGCTATCTAAATCTTTGCTGTGAAAAGGCACAGCCTCCCCTGTCCACCAACCACACATGCAGCAAAGATAACAGTTTGTTCAGCCACCTCTTCCAGTGTGTCTCTTCTCCAAAAATTTCCTCTCAAGGTCTGGCTAGCTACATGTGCATGTATTACTCTTCTGAGCTATGCACTCCCGAGTGTTGAAAGTCAAAAGAAAACTTCCACTCTTCAGACAGACAGTGACTTCTTCTTTCCCTGAGAGATTATGTGTTTGTTTAATGAAACACATTTGTCTCTATCTCTTCCAAACTTTGGTGTTATAACTCTGTTTGTACCTGTGAGGTTTATCTTTATTCTCCCACTCAATAACCAATTCAGAATTTTTTCTAAGCAGGACTAAAACTCAAGCTGGGAGTCCTTCACCACAAACACAAATTATAAGCAACAAGTTGGGAGTTATCTGCAGCACTAATAACCACTTAAGTTATTTGCTTTTGTTGTTACGCACTTGTGCATACAGACCTTGCATCTAATATAATGCATGTAAATGGGTTGAAAGATAAAAGCTTCTGTTCAGCCACAAACCTTTACAAGCCATGGAAAAGCCTGGCAGAGGGACTGAAATTAAATCAATCCAACTGAATTTGAAGCAAATGCTACTCGTCCATCAGGAATATTAGTCTGGGCTGAGCTCCAGTTTAACTATACAGTTCTTATAAAAATTCCATAGGATTATTTAATGATCCTGTGTGGCTAGTAATTCTGATTTAAACATCACCCAGAAGTACTAAAGTGATGTCACCATGTAGTGTCCAGCTACTTTTTCCATCCTGATTTAGAGAACACGGTGCCAACTAATGAAAACTCCTTTCTTTACTTAAGAAGTATAGCTTTTCCTCAAGACCTCCTAATCAGACATTGAGCAGTGGGTGACTGGAGAAGGAAGAACCATTCAAAGAAACCCAGCTACTCCTCATTTACTGGGATGGCTCTGA